GATATCAAAGAGTGTTGTTTTTTTCTGGATAACCAATGTATCTATGTCTAGGGTCTCTGCAATGAGGGTCAAAAGTTTCTAAACGTCTGAGATTGTCTGGTGCCAATTTGATTCCTTTGGTGTGGAAGGATATTGTTGGGGTCTCTCCCTTGCCATGTCCACCTGCTTACAGAGAGGGACATCTGGCTCCAGCATGGGAGCTATAGCTAATGATGTTTCTCATTCTTTGGCATGATAGGTCAAAGGATGATCTGGTGCAAGAAACATGCAAATGTGGTCCTCAGAATAGCCAAGGCAGCATGTTGTATGGCCAGGTTGAGGTTTGCCAGCCCACTGGTATTCGTGTTTTATTTGCCCTGACTAGGCAGCTGATAGTACTTCTTGTAGGTTCCTCTTCTGATCACAAGGGAGACAGGTCTCTGCTCGAAGGTGGTAAGAACAAATGGGCTTGGAGAAGATGACAAGCAGAATATTTCCTCAACTGGTGGTGTAGTGAAACCTTGGTGCCAGGGTGAAACTGCACTGAAAATGATCTTGCAACTGAGAATATGTCAGGTGGAAATACCACCAGTATGTATCTCAGGATTGCAACAGGTTCAATCTTCAATACCAGTCCTGATGCTTGTAAGGTGGATGATTTGATGTCAACACTGAGGTTGGCACCAAGCCACTACTTCTTTGAGTTGTGCCAGTGGTTGAGCTTGTGTGTCCAGCTCTTGAAGCCATAGAGAGCTTAGACGTTTTGTCTCTGGAAGACTGGTATTTCTGAGCTTCCTTGTGAGATGACCCCAAGGAATGTTCAGAGCTCCATTTCTGCCTGTGCTACATCTGGCCGTGCCTCTTGATGTGTCTTTGGCATTGGTGGTTTGGACACCGGGTCTGTTGGTAACGGGGTTAATGCCAAGAATGCCAGTCCTGAATTCTCACCTCCTTCTTCATTGCCTTTTTCCTGCTGCCAGACTCTGATGTGCGGTGCCTGCTTGAGGAGGCACTAACCAAAATGACTTTTTCAGCTCCAGTTTGGTAGCTGCCACTTCCTACAAGTTGAAAGCAATCCACATAGACTGCACTAATAGATGCAGTTTGAGAGTAGTGTGTCTGAATTTACAGGTTCTGAAGAAAAAGGAGTGGCAAACCAAACATCTGTCCAGGATGTGACTTCCCACCAGGCAGCACAGGCAGTGATTGTGGCCCCGTGTAAGCAGAACCAGAATGTCACATCATGGGAAGCCGGGTGCCTCGAAGTCCACCATGATGATGGTGGTTGGAGCAAAGCGCTTGACCCCAGTGTATGGGGGGCGGGGAGTAGTTCATAGAATCATAGACTTTAAAGTCAGAAGGAACCATTATGATCGTCTAGTCTGACCTCCTGCACAATGCAGGCCACAGAATCTCACCCACCCACTCCTGTATCAAACCCCTAACCTATGTCTGAGCCACTGAAGTCCTCAAATTGTGGTTTAAAGACTTCAAGGTGCAGTGAATCCTCCAGCAAGTGACCCATGTCCCACGCTGCAGAGGAAGGCGAAAACCCCCCAGGGCCTCTGCCAATCTGCCCTGGAGGACCCCAAATATGGCGATCAGCTAAACCCTGAGCATGTGGCCAAGACTCACCAGCCAGACACCCAGGAAAGAATTCACTGTAGTAACTCAGATCCCACCCCATCTAACATCCCATCACAGGCCATTGGGCATATTTACCACTAATAGTCAAAGATCAATTAATTGCCAAAATTAGGCTATCCCATCATACCATCCCTCCATAAACTTATCAAGCTTAGTCTTGAAGCCAGATATGTCTTTTGCCCCCACTGTTCCCCTTGGAAGGCTGTTCCAGAACTTCACTCCTCTGATGGTTAGAAACCTTCATCTAATTTCAAGTCTAAACTTCCTGATGGCCAGTTTATATCCATTATACTGGCACTAGAAAAGGTTCAGAAAAGGGCAACTAAAATGATTAAGGGTTTGGAACGGGTCCCATATGAGGAGAGATTAAAGAGGCTAGGACTCTTCAGCTTGGAAAAGAGGAGACTAAGGGGGGATATGATAGAGGTATATAAAATCATGAGTGATGTGGAGAAAGTGGATAAGGAAAAGTTATTTACTTATTCCCATAATACAAGAACTAGGGGTCATCAAAAGAAATTAATAGGCAGCAGGTTTAAAACAAATAAAAGGAAGTTCTTCTTCACGCAGCGCATAGTCAACTTGTGGAACTCCTTACCTGAGGAGGTTGTGAAGGCTAGGACTATAACAGAGTTTAAAAGAGAACTGGATAAATTCATTGTGGTTAAGTCCATTAATGGCTATTAGCCAAGACGGGTAAGGAATGGTGTCCCTAGCCTCTGTCTGTCAGAGGGTGGAGATGGATGGCAGGAGAGAGATCACTTGATCATTGCCTGTTAGGTTCACTCCCTCTGGGGCACCTGGCATTGGCCACTGTCGGTAGACAGGATACTGGGCTAGATGGACCTTTGGTCTGACCCAGCACGGCCTTTCTTATGTTCTTATGTTCTTGTGTCCACATTGGTACTGAGCTTAAATAATTCCTCTCCCTTCCTGGTATTTATCCCTCTGATATATTTATAGAAAGCAATCATATCTCCCCTCAGCCTTCTGTTGGTTAGGCTAAACAAGCAAAGCTCCTTGAGTCTCCTTTCATAAGACAGGTTTTCCATTCTTCAGATCATCCTAGTAGCCCTTCTCTGTACCTCTTCCGGTTTGAATTCATCCTTCTTAAACATGGGAGACCAGAACTGCACACAGTATTCCAGATGAAGTTTCACCAGTGCCTTGTATAATGGTACTAACACCTCCTTATCTCTACTGGAAATATCTCGCCTGATGCATCCTAAGACCGCATTAGCTTTTTTCATGGCCATATCACATTGGCGGCTCATAGTCATCCTGTGATCAACCAATACTCCGAGGTCCTTCTCCTCCTCTGTTACTTCCAACTGATGCGTCCCCAGCTTATAACAAAAATTCTTGTTATTAATCCCTAAATGCATGACCTTGCACTTTTCACTATTAAATTTCATCCTATTACTATTATTCCAGTTTACAAGGTCATCCAGATCTTCCTGTATGACATCCTGGTCCTTCTCTGTATTGGCAATACCTCCCAGCTTTGTGTCATTCACAAACTTTATTAGCACATTCCCACTTTTTGTGCCAAGGTCAGTAATAAAAAGATTAAATAAGCTTGGTCCCAAAACCGATCCCTGAGGAACTCCACTAGTAACCTCCTTCCAGCCTGACAGTTCACCTTTCAGTATGACCCTTTGTAGTCTCCCCTATAACCAGTTCCTTATCCATCTTTCAATTTTCATATTGATCCCCATATTTTCCAATTTAGCTAATAATTCCCCATGTGGAATCGTATCAAATGCCTTACTGAAATCGAGGTAAATTAGATCCACTTTGTTTCCTTTGTCTAAGAAATCTGTTACCTTCTCAAAGAAGGAAATCAGGTTGGTTTGGCACAATCTACCTTTTGTAAAACCATGTGGTATTTTGTCCCAATTACCATTGACCTCAATGTCCTTAACTACTTTCTCCTTCAAAAATTTTTCCAAGACCTTGCATACTACAGATGTCAAACTAACAGGCCTGTAGTTACCCGGATCACTTTTTTTTCCCTTTCTTAAAAATAAGAACTATGTTAGCAATTCTCCAGTCATACGGTGTTGAACCTTCCTTTTTCTTTTGAAAAGTATAATTTGATTGTATATTTTTGAAAACAGAAAAAAGAATTCTTCAATTAACTGTTTTCTTTTAAACACTAAGGTTAGCAAACACTAAAAGAGTAGCAGATTGTCACTGTTGGGTTCCATCTCGCTGCCACAGGGGATGAAAGGGAACTAAGGAAAGGCTGCACCTGCTCCATTTTTTATGCCCTCCTTCAGAAGCACAAGATGGCACAGGCACAGCCCCAACAGACACTGCTAGTCAAAAGGCTGATCTCATTGCACATGAGGTGCATTCACATCTACAGTAGGATCCACACTGACACATTTGAAGAGGAACACTTGACTGTGATTTGGTACAAAAATCCATCTGTATCAACATTTGATGTGCCACTTTCCCCATGCAGCAAAACCAAATGTCTTGTCTTCACATTCCAGTTCTGCACAACTCTGCCACTGTCTACACATCTCACCTCCTCCCTTTTTTACTCCTTCTGCCTGATTTTCTCTCTAGTTAATATCCCGTTTAAATCTCCCTATTTTCATCTTTTTGCCTTTCCTTACTAGCCTTTATTCCTTGAATTCACTCCTTTACATTGTGTGCCAAATGACTTCCCTGACCTCATTGAAGTTCCTCCTAAAACATACTGTTTCTGGTGAATGAGAGGTCATCAACAACAGAAGTGAGTTTAAGGAAAAAATTAAATAATATGCCTACACCATTTTGAACCCATTATCTGTATTACATACCCAACCTGTATTATCTGATTTAGGGCCAGATACTCATGGTGAGTAGTATCTCATTCCTCAAATGCTTCCAATGGAATTAGTGGGAGCACTCAAAGAGTAAGGTATTAGCCAACATGAGTAAGGATATCAGAATCTGACCCTGGCAACGTAAGCTCCTGGGGCAAAGACTATGTATTTCTCCAGGTTTTGCACAGTGTTGAGTGCACTTATGGAATTAAATTAATAACGATAATTATCCAACATTCCTATCAGCTGAAGATTTTATTTAGCCATTTTATACCCCCCCAACACAGCATTAGATAATAAGGTGCGACAGCAGGCTCATTCCTACTTGAAAGTTAAGGTGCCCAAAATCAACCAGGGCAAGGACCATACAAAAATAAAGGAACAAACTTTTAAATAAAACAAAGTCAGATCCTAATGACATGGACAGAACATGGAAATTTAAGCATAATTTTATCATCATCTACACAATGATAACAATGAAATACAAACAGACAGATTCTATAATCCAGAAAAACTGCTGCAGAATTGGGCTCAGTAGTTCTAAACTGACCTTACCTGCATCAAACATTTCAAGCAGATTAACTAAAGTCTCAAATGCTGCAAGACGCACACTGCTGCCTTCATCTCTCGCTAGTTCTACTAATTCAGGAAGCACTACATTTTTTGTTAGTTCTGTCCTGCAAAGCAAGCAAAATGGTTAGGGAAGACAAATAATGAAACAATGTTTACATAGCATCAAACCCAATCTCACCCAACATAACTTTCTCCTGAAGGCTGTATAGTTACTCTTCAATTTCCTAATTAGGAAAAACTGAAAAAAGGTGCAGGAAAACAAAAATTAAAGTAAAAACAAAACAAAACAACCTCCGGAGATTTTGTAGCCAGCTAAAAAACAGACTAAAGTTTAAAATACAAATCATCCCCTCTCATGACTAAAGAAAATTACTTAGCTTATCTCAAATAACAGATTTTTCCAGATTGCACTTTATGTACAAACAGCAAAGAGTTATGATGATTTAATGTGGGTCACACAGAAGAGTTCTCTGCAAGAGTATTCAGAAACTCTCACTGTTACAAAAGAGCAAGGTCTTAAATGTAAATGACAAAATATTAGCCATGACTACTGAAGATGCATGGGAATAACTTGTCCTCACTACATAAGATGGCACTGGCCAAAGGTAAGCCCTTCTACATGGAAGGCCTGCTGCCATTATCTGGAGGAGTTGTGAGGCTGCCTGACTGGCTGACCCAATATCAGTGTTGGGTTCTTCAAAGCCAGTTCTAGGGAAGTGAGGGAAGGGGATTCTTCTTTCCCAGTTGCTAACAATATCTGTTGAAGGTAGTCTCGGCAACTTGAGTCTCAACATCTGCTACGGATTGGTATATGAAGGGCTGGAATGAGATTTCAATCTTTCATCAATTTGAAGATTGAAGGGGGAGAGACATTTTCATGGCATGGAATTTCATGGAATGAGATCATCTGTACAGAAAGATGAGGTGGTGTGAGCAAAATGGGAGAGAGATCCATTTCCTTGCGCAATGACACTAAAGTGGGGGTAGTCAACATCATTTGGCATGACTGGGAAATTGTTTATGATTATGAAATAATGAGCATCAATAAATGGTAAAGAAAAGGAATGATGTCATGCATGGCTGCAATATTTACATAAATGCAATGATATATCTTGTTAGCAGTGCCTTGATTCCACTACTTCTTAAGCCATCCTCAATACAGATCACTGCTACAACTTACTCTCCGTAAATACACACACTCTTAACTAGATCCTGTGAGATTAAAGATGACAACTGAGGGCATGTCTACACTACATCTTATGTCAGCATCATTTATGTTGCTCAGGGGTGTGAATAAACAACCACCCAGAGTGACATAAGTTACATTGACATAATCAGTGTGGTCAGCGCTGTGTCGGAAGAAGAGCTTCTCCTGCCAACATAGCTATCCTCCAGACATGCCAAACCCGCAAAAAAACAAAAAAAAACAAAAAAAAAACAAAAAAAACAACGCAGAAATTGGGCTTCTTTTTGGCTTAATTGGCTTGAGAGTTGCGTGTTGGCTAGTTTTTTGGCTTGTAGCTTGTTGCAGCTTGTTGCTTCTTTTTTTTTGATCGGCTCCCGGCAAGCAGGGGCAAGGGTAAGCAAGCAGGGGCAAGAAGGGGAGAGTGTGTCAGGGTGCACAGTGGGCCCACCAAGTCCCAGACTGCACGCCGGGGGGATCTAGTCACATAAAGTGTTGGGGTTCTTAGGGATTGGCTTGGTCTGGCCTTGTTTTGAAATGGGATTAGCTTGATTTTTGGCTTATTGTGAAAGTCGGGGTGCTTATTTACTGCGTGAAAGTTGGCAACTGTGCTATCCTTGTTCGCAGGGGCTGGAGCAGTTAAGCGAACAGAAGAGCTCTCTCCCATCGGCTTACAGCCGCTACATTAGAGAGCTTACAGTGTAGTCTTAGTCATGGAGAAAGCAGGAGAGGGGACCAGGCAGAGATACTCTTAGATATAGAGCACAGCTTACGGATACAGATACACAAGCAATAAAGGAGGTGGGGGAAGAGAGAAAGAAACAGCTGTTCACCAGTTGATAATTATTTATGAAATGTTTTTTCTTCTTTATTAAACCGCCTTTGTGGAGATGGTTAGCCACTAGCGACGCTGTTATCTCTCACCAATTGGCTTTGGTGTAGAATCTATCACTTTATGCAAACTTCAGTTTTTCCATTTATAGTGTATTTGTTCCTGCTTGGGCTAAAAATGAGACCACAAGATGATGAAATTTTCTTCATTTCCTTTCTCAGAGTATGATTTTGTAATACAAGAGCAAGCCATTTTTGATACCAAAGAGAACAGCATTTTTCCTTCTTCAGCTTCACTTAACGTACTGGCCTTGAACTTTTTTTGTGGGGGAAGAGAAGGTAAAGGTCCATATTTTCCTTCTCTCCTTTTCATCAGGACCTATTATAGCTAACTTGGATTTAAAAGAAAAGAATGAAAATAAATCTTCTACACTTTTCCATATATCCTCGTACTTCTTTTATGTCACTTTATAGGAGCCACTTTTTGCCTCCACAAAAAAGGCATTAGCAACTTTATTTTTTGCCTCCTCTCTATAGGTTGTCACAGCAAGTGAGAGATTCTGAAAGTGTGATATAGCCACTGTAGTGTCATACATTTTAATAAATAAAACAGATTATTTGATGGACTTTGTTACATGTTGCCGTGTAACCTCCTTTCCACACATACCATAAATCAGAATTAGTTTTACTGATATTAGATTAGATTATTTTATAATCCACCCTCCCACAAAGGAAATAACATTTTACAATAGTGTGTGTCACTTATACATTATTGTCAACACCAAATGCATCATAATGGCATCCTACCTGCTGATGGAGCCAAAGAAATTCAGTGAGAAAATTACTGGAAACAATAGATTGAATCCCAAAGGAAAGAAATATCAACGAACAGGTGGAAGGGTGCATTAAGAAGGAAATAAGTGAACATATGGTCAGGAGTGGGGGGTAAAAATGCAATCCAAATGAGACCCAGGAAGGCAGGGAGAAAGAGAGAAAATGAAATCACAAGCTGATGGGGAACAGGAAGAAAGCTGAAACAGACATTTCCAAAATGTGTTTCTGTGGATTTCCATTTTGGAACCATTAAAGATATACTTAATTTTTGACAAAGATTTAAAACAAATATGACAACTAGAAAAAAGAATCAGTTGTTTATAAATTTGTGATAAAAGCATGTCATTTCCAAAAGATGATGCAGCTACCAATGTGCGGTACCAATCCGTACATTTTCCTTGCAATTTTTACTCTTAATACATATACATATATTGATATATAACATAATCAGAGTGGACTATAATAAAATGATCTTAAAATTTACATTCTGTATTGAGATAAACAAAGTGGGTAAGGTAATAGTTTTTACTGGCCCAACTTCTATTGGTGGAAGAGACAAGGTTCAAGCTTCATAGAGCTCTTCTTCAGGTCTGGAAAAGGTAAGTAGAGTGTCATAGCAAAATACAAGTTGGGATAGATTGTTAAGCATAAAGCATTAATGCTTGTAGCAAGAAACCACTTAAAAATTAAGTGACCAATTAATGCTTAAAAGCTTATCTTTTCCACCAGCAGAAGCTGGTCCAATAAAATATATTAAAACAAAATGTATTTTAATATAAAACATCGTAACTATTTACTTATGCTAAACTGTCTTTTGGGGTGGAGGGAGGTAAGGGGATAATACAGGACCTGATCACTTAAGCAAGTGAGTAATTTGAATAAGTTCAATGTCTTCTAAAGTTACTCATGTGCTTAAATGTTTGCAGGACAAAGCCCTTACACAGCAACTATTCAAAGCACTTCTAGTTAATTTTATTTCCTATCTCAAATAAAAGGTAACAGGCAAATTAATCTGGCAGTCCCTGCACTGCATGGTTTTATTGAAATAGTGTTAATTTAACCATGCTACTAATACTTATCTTTTACTCTAACCGCTTAGTAGTTACACAGCCCAGTTCATCACACCCAACTTCAAAAGGGTTAAAGACACAAAGAAGAATCATTTCCACACATGTTGGTACTCCAAAAAAAAAAAAAAAAAAACCAAACTGCATTTGTACAGTACCTTTCAAAGATAGGCTTTAATTTCATCCCCTCCCTTAGTGCTCTTCATAGATTTTAATGCCAAAAGGGACCATTTATGATCATCTAGTCCTGGGGTGAGCAAACTTTTTGGCCCGAGGGCCACATCTGGGTGAGGAAATTGCATTTAGGTCCATCAATGTATTGCTGGGACAGGGGGTTATGGTGTGGGAGGGGGTGCGGTGTGCAGGAAGGGGCTCAGGGCAAGGGGTTGGGATGCAGGAGGGGATGCAGAGTGCGGGACGGGGCTCAAGGCAGGAGGTTAGGGGGCTCAGGGCAGGGAGTTGGTGTGAGAGGTGCAGGAGGGGTTCAGGGTGTGGGCTCCGGCCTGGCACCACTTATCTCAAGCACCTCCGGGGCGGCAGCAGCGCACAGCGGGGCTAAAAGGGAGGCTCCATACCTGCCCTGGCCTCGCACCGCTCCCGGAAGTGGCCAGCATGTCCAGCAATGGCTCCTGGGGGTGGGATAGGGCAGGCGGCTCCACTGCGCACTGCCCTTCCCTGTGGGTACCATCCCCGAAGCTCCCATTGGCCACAGTACCCCGTTCCTGGCCAATGGGAGCTGTTGGGGGCGGTGCCTGCAGGCAAGGGCAGTGCACAGAGCCCTCTGCCCTCCCCGAGAGGCCGCAGGGATTTGGTGCCAGCTGTGGCCGGGAGCAGCACGGGGCCAGGACAGGCAGGAAGCCTGCCTTAGCCCTGCTGCACCATGGGGCTGGCAATCCTGTGGGGCGGATTGAAAGCGCTGACGGGCCGGATTCGGCCCGTGGGTGTAGTTTGCCCTCCCCTGATCTCATATGATCCCTCTCTGCATAACACAAGCCAGCGAAACTCACCCAGTAACTTGTGCATCAAGCCCATAATGTTATGTACTGTTCATATCTCCTAGACAAGAACAGAGAGGTAGACAGCTACATCTGCGTTTCTGATAGGAATTTCAGAGGGTAAAAAAATTAATCTTTGTGGCCCTGATTCTGTGGCACCTTATATGTTGTATGATCAAGACAAGACACTATAAGTTTTAACTTGTCTATAAGTTCAACAGAGCCTTCTCTAGTGCTATATTTATAACTTTAAAAAAATGAAGAGGCTTTCAAGCTTATATAAACAGCTGCCACAGAATTTACATTTACTATAAGTAATCAAAACATGTTTATCATCTTTTTGCAAAGAGTGGCAGTTAGTTTTAAGAACTAGGACTCCTTCCAGATTGTCTTCCATCTTTGTGTACCTACACATTAAACAACTGATATCAGCTGAATCTTCCCATTGATTTCAAGGGGCTTTGAATCAGACCCTTTTCAGAAAAATGGTTTTTGTTCACATGGTAGTTACAAAAATACATTCCTGAATTACATAAAGCGTAAGTGGGTGAAAGCTGTGGACAATTAATTGAGAGACTGCAATACGCCTTGAATATCAAATAATTTAACATGCAGGGATACACGTTTTAAATTTTGAAGAGTTTTTAGATTACTACTAAATACTTTAGAGTTATATTTTACATTTTGTAGTAAATTTTGCAAGTTATACTCACCCTATTCCTTGAGCTATATGTTCCAGTTGCCGACACATGCAGGATCGAACTTCATATTCTACATCTTGGCAGAGCGATTTTACCAGTGGAAGAATTTCCCTTTTAATGCTAAAAATTTCAACATTTTAAATTAATATGAAGAACTAAGTATTTGTAAACTCTATTTAATGAGCACATCTGATTCTAGATAGTTCACAGTACTCTTAACTTGACCCTTCATACAGCAACATTTATAACCTTTATGAGCAGGTGTTGTAGGGCAGGGTGATAAAGTACAACTGACAATTTTGAAGCTTATAATTATAAATGGTATAGAACTTTACAGCATATTTTTATAACTAAACTAAAATACAAAATGGAATTTTCACAGAAGAGTATTATCCATATTCACCGCAGTTTGTTAGTATTTCATTTGAAGGATTTTCAAACCTTTGAAAATACTGTTTAAGTATAGTGTTACTTTTAATAAAGATACTTAATAATCAACTTCAGTACAATATTTAGACAGCTGCTGTATGAATACATATACATTGTATAAATTGAAATGAAAGTCCTAGTTATTTTTGTCATCATCAGCTGCTTGCAAACATAACAAAATATGAATTTTAATGTAAATGGCTGTTTTTTAAAATTAAAAACTAGGGTGCAATAACTTAAGTCCACTAATCCGGACATTAGACTGATCTGTTCTAGTATCCAGTAAATCAAACAGGACCCTCCAAATCAGTATTTATACACTTTGTTGTTGGCCAGTTCTCTATTACATTCTAACAGATTCTGCTACAGCATTCAGACAGCTCTGTCCTAAAAAAATACAATCCACACAATGTGAATGGACTCAACAGGATAGCATTATCCCAACCGTGGGCACGAAACACAGAAGCTTAGTTTGTAAGATAAACAACTTCTTTTTTTTTTAATTTGTTTTTGCAGATCCATCAATCTAATCTGAAGGGACTATTGAGCAGTTCACCCCACTGTAGAGTGGGAAACCATTTGCCAACCACTTGTCCATAATAAACATGGCCTTTAAGATATTCTAAGACCCTACCAAATGCAAAGTCGAAGGAATGGATTTCCAAAACATCAGAACAACTGGTTTGTGCTGCTATGTCTTCCATCTCTTTCATCCTTAAGGTGAAAGAAGCCCCAGTGAAGTAGGAATAAGTGCACACTGGACCTCTGTTGCAAGACCTGACCTACATAGTCCTGGATGCTCTTTGGCCCTTCTTTGGAGGAGGTTTCAAACAGCAGAACTTATATATTAAAAAATCCTTATTTCAGTCCACATAGAATTTAAGGAATCTTGAAAAACTTCTTAGAATACAGAAGGAAAGGAAATCTCCAGGCTGATATGGAAACCTTGTGCCCACTTTGGGAAGAAAATATTGAAGATGAACTTGTCTTTATGCAAGGTGAGGTCCAAGTCATCCTGTGGTTGCACAGCATCTAACATAACAGGGCATCAATCTTGAGTGGGACCTTGGACACTATCACAATACAGATAATAAAATAAAATAAAATAAAATAAAAAAAGGAGGCCTGCTCAAGGGGTTTCTAGTATCCAAGCTCTTCTAGCCAAGAAAGTATTTCCAAGAAGGGATGTTTGAAATGGAAGAAAATGAAATAGTACAATTCCGTTTAGTCTTCGGAAAGGTTACAATCAAAGTCAGATTCCAGGAGACAATAATAAGTCTAACTCTAGATAGACTCTATTCATGAATATTGTAATCATTATTTAAAACAGCAACATAGATATTCATAGCACTATACAAACACATACATTACAAAAGGCTCCAATCTTGCAAATTGATTATTTGCAGATTGACCCAGCATCCATACCAAGTCAACTGTTATTAATGGTAATAAAAAATTGTGGTCAATCTGGAACCATAGGAGCTTCCCTCCCCTTCACGTAAGGATTCTGATGTCCAATTCTTTCCTTGCAGCTGGAGTTATGAGCTGCTTTACTTGATCTTTCTAAGATTTCAGATTTCCAGGAATCAGATTTAGAAACTCTGTAAGCCATGGTCTGTGCATGCTTACAGTACAACAGAAAGCCCCATTCTGTTCTATGTACAAATGAAGGTTCTTTTGAGGTTGGAAGTCTTCTTTATGGTTGCATCTAGTCTTCCAAATAACTTCATTTAACAGAACGAAATTAGGAACAATTTACAGCAGTTCAGTACACCGCCACATGGCCCACTTGTTTACCTTTCATGGTATGCTAAGTTGTAGCATCTTGGATAGATTAAAAGCAGCCTCACAAAAAAAGGCCAAGGCCAATGCACACACTATTTAGACTTCCTTTTTCATGTTAAAAACAACAGCTTGGTAAAGGTAATCATTCCCATTTCTTTTACCCAGTCCTAACTGGCTCTGGTAAAATAAAAATTTTGACCAGAAATCAGCCAATCATCAAAGTATAAGTAGCCCTCCCAACAACTGCACAATCATCAGGTCATCATAAACTATGCTTAGTGTAGAACCTAAGCAGGAGCTGTACTCTGCAACTATCCGCAAGAAAAGATTCCACCCACATCCCAATGACAGGTACTGCAATGAGGGGTTGCATAGAGTCAGCTATACCACCCTTATGTCATCTAAAGATTCCCCTACAACAGGGAACACTCAGCTGCCCACTTAAGCAAGTTTTACGTGGGAAGAGGTGGAGCAGGGGCAGGGCCTCATGGAAGGGGTGGAGTGGGGGTGGGGCTGCGGGCAGAGGGTGGGGGCTTTTGTACCTTTATATGAAAAGGTGTTAGTGATGCGGCCCTCGGGCCAATGTACTAGTCCTCATGTGGCCCTCGTGGTGATTTGAGTTTGAGATCCCTGCTGTAGAGGGACCTGGGGTCTGAAACTTTGCCCAGAAAGGTAATCTCAAGGGAACCCTTTTTTTAAACTTTGAGACTCTGGGAGTCTGATAAGACCCTGAAAAGGCTCTGAGGACACTAATGTCTCATCTAGACAGTCCTGAGGCACGGTTATTAATGTTGCCTGCACAGAAAAGGTTAGCTGAAAAGGGCTTATTTAATACAGGGCTGATTAAACTGATGGTAGAAGGTAAATAAGGTAGTATGGATGTTGTGGGGCAGATAGTTTCTAGGGCTTTTAGTTCTGTTAGGTATTTCTAGGTTCTGCACTGCTGTCCAAATCACTGACTTTCGGTCTTGGAGGTGGAGGAGATCAGGTCAACAGCAGTTGGCTACTGCTGTGTCCCCCATGCAGTTATGACAAGAAGAAAATCCCAAGCAAAGAATTCAGAAATCTGGCCACACAACTCAAAATTTAGAAACAAGATTTTGCCTTTAAGACAAGAGAGTTTTAAGTTTACCAATTCCTTTACTGGAGATTTTAAAATAGATTTTAATGAAATGCATCAGGAAGGCTCGGAAGAGTCTGACTGCACGTGAGGAGACAGAATTAAACCGGCAGGCTCATCAGGAGTGTGGATGCTCTCCTGTTGTTTTTGATAAGCAGGCATGGTTATGCCTCCAAAAGCTGCAAGCAGGCTGAAAAACCATTGTTTAGATCTGTGGACCTTCCTACACAGAACAATAATCTAGAGAAATGACATGAAAAATGGTGCTCCCAAGGTAACCTCTTGACTGGTCGAAGAATGTACACAGGGAAGTTGAAATCTGATGACAACAGCAATGTTTGAACATGCTGAGTACTGTGACCTACCTAATGAACATCGCTTATAGCTAATTAGTATTATGATGGATGGATCTGTAAGAACAAAAGCATTCAATTTTTGTACAATAGAGAAAATTATGTAAATCTACTTCTTGTAATATTATCCACTGGCAAAGACATTGTGATAAACATTAAATCTGAAACACATACACACAAACTACTCACATATGAGTTTCAAACTTGTTAGCTAATTTTCCCAATATTTTACAGCTAACTAAGCGAGACTGAAGTGTTTGGGAAAGCTGTGCCTTGGAAACAAGTGGGTTCAGGATCTATATGGAAAAAATGGGAGGAAACATTTAACAGTAAAAAATGTATTCCTGTTGTTAAAAAGTCTAGAAGTACATAATACAAATGTCAATTACTTTTCCCACAAAATTAGGTTGTGATCATAATAATGCACACATTAAGACTACTAAGAACCTTGCATTTTAGTGCCAACTATAGTATATAACAAATGTATCTTGGCCCAAGTTCTAGTTTATGATTCACATCACAGTTTATAGCCATTACACCTTTGCAACATTACATCTATCTTCTTGTGTTTTTATTTAGAGAATAAATTCTATAAGCATATTTATAGATATTATTTGGGGAATTTTCACACAAAGGGCCCCCTTCTTGGAAAAACCCAGAAGAGGAGGAGGGAAAGGAAATAGTATGAATCTCTTCTTGCCAATGTTTCTCCAGGGACACCTCCTTTGATGTGAACTCTGGTGGCCATATACCCTCCCAACCTTGAATATCTCTAGGATCCATAGGGAAGGGATTCCATGTGCAGCCATGACCCACTGCTGCTTCTGCTGGAGCTGTGCGACCATTTGCTGGATCTCCTCCACGATCCCAGAGGATCAGCTGTCAAAGGGAGCCAGAGGAAGATAATATGCCTAGTTGTATTATCGCCTGATGAGAAATCGCCATGGAAACCCATGTGCAGAGTAGGGCAGGGTGCTGCAAAGAAGGGTACCTCCCCTGCTCTGCCTCAGCTCTTCATCCAACCTTTCATGCACAACCCCAGCGGAATTGAACACAGGCCAGAAAGGGTAGCAGTGCTGCAGAAGCAGCCCTTCCCATCATCTTACTGTGAAAATGTGAACAGATGAACAAGCTAGAATTAGTACACAGAATGTGTTACCCATCATAACACTTAGTGAGGAAATAAGTCATACAGGTTTTGTAGGTACCATATATTATTATTATTTAATATCTGAACAAGGAGAGCACCCAGAACATGTCAGACACTTTCCAAATATTTAGCAAGACACAGTCTTTTCCCTAAAGTGCTCTGAATTTAAGACAGTCCTCCCAATTTCCATTACAATAAATAAAATGAGACGAATCTAAGTGTCACAATACAAAAATGAAATAATTAAGAAAAGCCTTATATCATGTGGTCTTATCCAACTGCTGTCCTAAAAGTGCCTCAGCAATTGTATTATACACAAGGTACATTGTTATGAGGACATCCTATCATTTTATTGTGTTTTAAGGAAAATGTAGGAAGCAAGTTGACATTTTCCCTAAGTGATCATTTTTTAAATTACATTACAGAAACACATTGGTTCTAGCAAAATTAATTTATTTTGTATTGTTAGCCTTTTACCCTTTAAAAGTTATTTTAAAAGCAACGATGGATTTCATTTACAAGCACATTTTAAAAATGTTTTTATAAAGTACAAATGATCATTAAGGGGCAGGTGACAGAATTTTTCCCTACCCCCAGAGCCATAATGTAGACACAAAATACACAGTGTTTGCAGGCTGACCTCCAAATAAAGACCCCAGGCTTTGACCCACTGAGTGGAACTTAAACCCTCAAGTCTACTAAACCTATAGCATAAAATTAAGTTCACTGCCAATCCAGAAGTTTAAGTTACTAAAACAAAAACTTTTTTGTTAGAACATTCTTCCACTTTTACTATCATCTTCGAAAATGAAAACACAGACCCTCCAAAGCACTTTATTGATGATATCTCATTTAAAAATACTGTAGTCATTGTTTGTTGATGTATACAAAAGCCTTTTAAGATGACCTCCCATCCACCCCCAACACATTCCTTTACTACACTATGTTCTACAATAGCCTGATTTTCACAGGTGTTGACCGCTCATTACTCCTGTTGAAGCAAATAGGAATTGCAATTACTCCAAGCTTTTGAAAATCAGATCATTATTCATAAAAATCTTTAATCTATTCTCCATTAATGTTTCCAGGAAAAAATAACATTACCTCATGTCTGATGGTTTCTTTTGGCAAGACTTCTATTACAGCAAGAAGAGTTTCTAGCCACGCATTACTGACACCTGTTAGACATAAATGGACTATATGTTATATTATAGGTCAGTTGTATGAAACAACTTCTGTTTTGGTGCAGTCAGCTCTTCAATGAACTATACTTCTAAATGACATACAGTAACATTCAAAAATAGTTACACACTTCTATCTGTTTGCATATATTTCATTAGAAAAACAAGTTTTGCCTGCATTTTGGGGAGGGGAGAATTATTCTATTACTTGTTTTGGAACAACTGTTTGAAGATGAGTTTCCGCCGCTTAGAAATAACATGCTATTTTCTTTAATTTACTTATGTAAAACTTTCTATTTTTGCTGCAAGAGTCATTTTTTTATTTTTCCTGTATTAAGAAAATAATTTTCAAGAAGTTAAAAGAAAATCTCAACATTATGAAGAAAATACTGTATCCGTACTTGTGCTTACTCAGGCACAGATTCCAATTAATCCATTGGAAATTTGGACTAAGGACCGCAGGATTTAGTGCACCAAGCAGAAATGTATGTATTTGTTTTATTCAAATTGAAGGAAACTTTCAGCTAAATAAGTCTGCAGGAAGGTCAATATATAGAAAACCTTACATACAGCAAGCCATTCCAAAAAACCACCATCAATTAATAAACTCACAAATTGGTATAGATTGCATGTATTGTTTTAAATAGTACTGTACAGCCACTAAGGAAACATAAATCACAAAGAACCAATCGGTTATCAGCATAGCATCATGATCCTGACCTGCATCCCTGTGTTCCAGATTCTGTAGAATGATGTGTAGGAAGGAGTGGGAATAAGTATGAATGGACACGGACTCCTCTTGCTGAATAGTCAAAAATGCAACAGCAGCTGTTAACTGCATTTCCACCCCTGCAACATGCAGGACTTCCTGTATAATCAGAAAGGGTATTTATTTAAAAGGATGAGCCAGAAATACATTAAAAGAAAATTCCCATGTTTATTCAGATCCTAGGAATCAGTATATAAGAAGTTAGATACAAAACTATCCTTACACAACCACTTCCTCTTAACAGATTAGATACTCTAATCTCTTTTAAACTACATCTTCACAAATTCAGGTGTTTTACAAATCATAATAATATAAAGCTTTCAAGACAAATAAATTAAAGTGGATCATAATGTTTGACATTGATTAGCAAGGAAAAAATGTAGCACACATTACAATTTTACTAAGCTTTTTAGTTGTATGTCTTGTTCAATTATTTCTGTGTTTAGGTGCAGATGCTTTCTTTATGTATAGTAAGAAAATGTCATAACAAACCAGCCAGCATTCATTTCAGTTATTCATGGCTTAGAGAGATAAATATTTTGTACCCCCTGGGAAGTGATACCAAATTGCACAAAGTTATTTAAATTTCCATCACCAACTGATACCGAACATAAATAAAATTTTATAGTTTAGCCTCTAAATAAAAACAGCCAAAGATTAATTATGTTATTTATTTAAACACTTTTCTATTTATGGATACTCAACTTTATCATGAACCAATCTCATTTATTAGAAACTCTTTCAGAGTGCCTATTCCAAAGTCAAATATTAATAATAATGATGATGATTAGGGCCCTACCAAATTCAGAGTCCATTTTGGTCAATTACACGGTCATAGGATTTTAAAAAAATCACACATTTCATGATTTCAGCTATTTAAATCTGAAATTTCATGGTGTTGTAATTGTAGGAGTCCTGACCCAAAAAGGAGTTGTGGGGGGAGTCGCAAGGTTATTGTAAGGGGGATTGCAGTACTGCTACCCTTACTTCTGCACTGCTGCTGGAGGAGGCACTACCTTCAGAGCTGGGCAGCTGGAGAGTGGTGGCTGCTGACTGGGAGCCCAGCTCTGAAAGCAGCGCCACTGCCAGCAGCAGCGCAGAAGTAAGGATGGCACGGTATGGTATTGCCATCTTTACTTCTGCACTCTTGCTGGGGGGGGGAGGAAAGCTGCTTTCAGAGCTGGGAGCCCAGCCAACTGCCACCAGTCTCCGGCTGCCCAGCTCTGAAGGCAGCGCAGAAGTGAGGGTGGCAAGATCATTACACCCCCCAGAATAACATTGTGATCCCCCCCTGCAACTCCCTTTTGGGTCAGGACCCCCAATTTGAGAAACGCTGGTCTCCCCCGTGAAATCTGTATAGTAGAGGGTAAAAGCACACAAAAGACCAGATTTCACGGTCTGTGACGCGTTTTTCATGGCCGTGAATTTGGTAGGGCCCTAATGATGATGATATGGTAGCAAAAATGTGAACAGGTGTTCATTTGTAGACAGCTGTCAGAATGAAAATTAAAGGCCATATCTACCTAGATCTTTCAAAGTTATTTAGACATATCATAACATCTGCTATGTGTAACCTGTATGAGTCACACTACTCACTACCAATATGTACATTTTGCTGGGTATTACTAGAATGACATTTTTAAGTGGTTTTACTGCCTAATTTGCTATTAAAATATTATGCATGTTTTACTTGTGAATCCAACCTTGGTAACACTTAGCTTTCTCTCTAGACTGATCAAGCTCAACCTGCCAGTTGATATTTTTCACAGATGCTTCTTTGGTTCTTTTTTTAACATACATATTGGGAGACAAATTATATTTAACGAAAGATCAAAGAATATTATCTAACTCTTTAGTAAAAACCAAAAACAAGCCTCCAACAGACTTTCTTAAAAAAAAAAAATTATAGGCATAAATGTGACAGACAAAAGATGATCCTGGTTTATGATTTGCTTACAACTGTCATGCGATGATTAGTACATTTATCATTTACGTAATAAGAGGTGAACAAGAAAGAAGTCTCAGTACAGAAATGTCAACCAGTCAGATTGTATGTGCAAGTACCCTTTTTCAGAGTAGCTAAGCTAAAGGAAAACTGTTATTCATCTCAAGAGCTGGCTGTGGGCGTTTATGGCTGTGGATGTTTCTACCAGGATGCCCATTATCCAAGTAAAATTAAGCTGTGCTGGGCAGCTTACCAACTACCAGTATAATAAAATGTTCATATTCCTTAATAAGGATAGGTTGCATTTTTTTTGTCATTAAGGGTCATATACTGCCCTTGTACAACTTCCATCAACACTACTGGGAGTATTGCCAAGGAACAAGGTCAGCATATGGCCTTATAACAGAATGGTATTGGGGGATCAGAATAAGCAAGCACATAAACATCTGGTTCTTGAACTACACCTCTTACAGTCATTCAAAAAAAGAAAAAAAAAAAGAGAGAGGACTTTACCAAACAATTAAGAAAGAGGGCAGAAGAAACAGGACCTAAAGAGCATGAATCAAAACATGAGTTCCAGGATACAGATAGGCTTTAAAGACAGCACAGATAATTCTGGCCCCTTTTAGAGTTATTTATGAAGAAGCTCCCATCTCACCTCCCACCCCTTGTGCTAAGATTTAGGTGAAAGACAAGATTGTTAGTACATTCTAACTACAAAAGGGCTATCTGCAAACAGTGCAATACAGAATGTGGGATTGTTGATTTTATCTATCTGACACACTTTCCAAACTTAATAGGTTTTTAAATTGTGGGCTGAAGTGGCACTTTGGAGACGTACATTTCTGCAATGTTAAGCTGAAGTTAAAAAATCAACATAGATATTGTTGGAATAGAAAGCATCTGATTTCAATTTTAAATATGTTCACTGGATACACAACATAAATAGGGTTACTTACCAACAACTCAAGATTCCAAATGGGTAGCTCCTCCACAGATCCACACTCTCTGGATAATCATGTGTGAGAGCCACATTCTCTGGATGTGCCTCCTCATGGACCTCGGGAGACATTGAAATGTAAATTTCTAGATTGCTTAAACATGTGCCTGAATTGATGTCTGCACTGAGAACTGTAGAGTTTCACCTATTAAAATGTGTCTGGCTCCCATCCCCACTGCAGTTCCATAGACCTTAAGTTGGACATAAAAATGTATGACAAAAGACATCAGGTTTGTGAGTGTAGATCTGTTGAGGAGGATACCCATTTGGAGAATTATGATTATGGGTAAGTAACTTCTTTTTTAGTCATGGGATCTCCTTCACAGATTCCCACTCTCCAGTGGCAAAAAAGCACTAACCAGCAAACTCAGAGGGATTCAGTGCGACGTCAAAAAAACTAGCTGGTTTTGGTGAACTGCCTAATGAAAAAGACTACGGTCTAGCAGTTAAGTTCGGGCAGCTATAGCTCCAAAATGTAGAAAGCACTGCAGATTTCTTCAATTGGAACAGATGAAATTTCATCTCTAGTGAAATGTGATTTATGTCCCTTTGGAATAGATTTTCCTTGAAAGAATGCTGCAGTTTATCAACTTTGTATTTGTGTTAATATGGCATAACCTTTTAATTAGGAAAAGAAAAAGAAAAAGAGAAAGAAAGAAAGAAAGAAAGAAAGAAAGAAAGAAAGAAAGAAAGAAAGAAAGAAAGAAAGAAATTCACAGAAGAATGGTAGAACAAAAGGACTGATTAGATTTGAACCCAAAGTCACTTTACAGTGTAAGCAAGGGTTAAGAGCACCATCACTATCATTTCCTAACCTTGTGGAAACAATAAGAGAAGAATTTGTCAGTAGCAACTGCAGCTTACAAAGTTGACAAGTTGGTGGACAGCAAATTAAAAAAATAGTTTCATAGATCACAAAATAATTTGTTTTGAAAATGGCTTTAGAATGTATTAGATAGCACAGGGAAAGGGCCTGGTGTGTAGGAGCCAGATAATATATAACTGAAGTAAGAAACAAAGACGTTCACAATTTTGAGAAGCCAGAGTATTGTAAGCTTGACAAGATTTGGGCTCTCTTTCCTTAGAAGGATGTAGACACTTATGTTAGGTGACTGACTGCAGCTCTAGATCAAAATTAATTGAATTTTATTCTGACACCGCAACATTTGGAAAAATAGCTCTTAATAAAGAAAATTCAGCTAAATAAAGGCCTTCAAAAAACCTCATTCTGGTGGCACCGAGATCCACCAAACCATGGAGATCAAAAAGGAAAGGAGCTGTCAATGCCAAATACAAAGGAGTCATTAGGTGCACAGAACATACACTGAGGAATATATCTAAGCTGTCTATGAATCTGCATTTCAGTGATTACCAAGGTTCATGAGGAGGTGCATGCAGATATCCAGAGGGTGGGGGATCTACATAGGAGAACCATAACAAGACATCAGTGTTTTTCAACTGTAGAGAATGTACAAAAATTTCATATACATGATTTTATTTTAATTTCTGAACTATGTATATCATAGCTGATTTAACCAATAGAACACAATACTGATGCTCACACTTGACCATACTTTCTCTGAGTTATATTAAAAGGGTCTGATAAATTTAATCTTGTTTATCCCAATATTAAAATCTGTATGGTAAAAGGTGAACGATTTTTGTTTGATGGTTTATTTAGTTGTTGTTTTGTTCTGAATATTTAAAATGACAAATATAGAATTTCAATGGAAAATTTTTCCTACCTGTATAATTTCTGCAATTGCAGAGGCAAGATTACCAGGTTTGATTTACCAATTTCTGCCAACAAGTAGAGATAAAATTCTTAATCCAGACAGTCATAATGTCTTTCAATTACCTTTTCCTCAGTCTATTTTATCCACAGCTTTGACAAAAGGAGCATTTGTTCTTACCTGTGAGTTCTGCGAATACATTCAAACACCAAATGAGGAAGCTGAGTTTACTACCCAATTAGCTCAGGGTGATAAAAAGCTGCAGAAACACATAGCAATTACTATGTCTTTCACTTTACAGTTGTAGATACAAATTTACAAAAGTGGGTGAACATCATTATTCCATCTCACATATGGGAAATAGAGGTGCAGAGAGATTAACAGACAATTCAATTCCCTTTGAAGTGAGACAACTCCCACT